ATGATCCAGAAGAGGATTGGGAGACTGTCATATGGTCAGATGAAACCAAAATAGAACTGTTTGGTAGAAACACAACTCGTCGTGTTTGGAGGAGAGAGAATGCTGAGTTGAATCCAAAGAACACCATACCTACTGTGAAGCATGGGGGTGGCAACATCATGCTTTGGGGCTGTTTCTCCGCAAAGGGACCAGGACGACTGATCCATGTACAGGACAGAATTAATGGGGCCATGTATCGTGAGATTTTGAATGCAAACCTCCTTCCATCAGCAAGGGCATTAAAGATGAAACGTGGCTGGGTCTTCCAACATGACAATGATCCCAAACATACCGCCCGGGCAATGAAGGAGTGGCTTCATAAGAAGTATTTCAAGGTCCTGGAGTGGCCTAGCCAGTCTCCAGATCTCAACCCCATAGAAAACCTTTGAAGGGAGTTGAAAGTCCATGTTGCCCAGCGACAGCCCGAAAACATCACTGCTCTAGAGGAGATCTGTATGGAGGAATGGGCCAACATACCAGCAACAGTGTGTGCCAACCTTGTGAAGACTTGCAGGAAACATTTGACCTCATTGCCAACAAAGGATATATAACAAAGTATTGAGATGAACTTTTGATATTGACCAAATACTTATTTTCCATCATAATTTGCAAATAAATTCTTTCCAAATCAGCCAATGTGATTGTCTGTCTGGATTTTTTTTCTCATTTTGTCTCTCATAGTTGAGGTCTACCTATGATGCCAATTACAGGCCTCTCTCATCTTTTTAAGTGGGAGAACTTGCACAATTGGTGGCTGACTAAATACTTTTTTGCCCTACTGTATATATATATATATATATATATATATATTAAAGTCCCAATAATTGTGCCCCATCCACATCCAGAGTGAATATTAAGTGCTACAGTAGTAAATCTTCTTATCCAAAGCAATTCTCTGTGCGTAGTGCTCCAATTAGTGCTCCCCCTCTAGAGCCCCACTCACCACAGATGGACTACCTGGAATGGTAGGTCAAATATCTCATGAGATGTTGCAGCGCTCTCTTGCAGAAAAGTTGGCAGTCTGCGTGGTCTTGACACCTCTGTACACTGATGACAGACTCCATAGTGGAAACACCTCTAGATCAATCGTTTGCAACAAAACTCCTCCAGAACCTCCACAGTACTCCTCCACCACCGTACAAAACATCAATGGGAAACTTCCATAGCTTAGCACCATATTTATTAGGTAAAAAACAGTTAAAATTGCATTTACATAAAAGCCAAGTGTATGGCACTTTAAATCCCAGCAAAAAGCAATTCCTTCTCAAAGGACAAGTGTAGCACTATCAAGCCCCACTCTGTTTCATCGTATGACGTCATCAGGTATTTGTTCACCGGAACAAATTTGTGATTTTGCTAGCAGCAGCCAGTCTAGTTGATCAGTCCTCTGCGCAGGTTATACTCGCACACTGTGTTTGTAATCAGCCCTTGCTTTATAGCAGTTTAAGTGGTAAGACAATTGCTTACTACAGCTGTACTGTTAAAACCCTGTTCTGGTTTGGGCGATTACAGTAAAAAGTGCATGCCTGATACATTAGGCACTCCAAATTTTAGGCAGTGCTGGCTTTTTCTTATGAGAAAGTCCTGTATGCTCTGCAACATAAACAAACCATGTATTTTCATAGACAAAAATGTTTCTTTGCTTCTGCTGTTGCTTTCCTTTGACAGTTGCCACCAGAACAAGTGACCCTGTTGATTTCCCTTCACTTCTTATTTTAGTGCCAACTCTAAAATGTTGGAGTAACCATCACTTTCTGTTTCAGTGATAATGTCACCAGGACAAACAAGGGCAGAAAAATTATCTAGCCAGCACAAAGACAATAATACACACCAATTACGGCTTTAAATTCTTCTCTATCCAAAACTAAAACAAAAGTTATAGCTATAGATATACTTTAAATGCTTGCTTTGAAATATGTATGCAAATAATTAAAACAATATAAAACATCAATTTGTAAACGTTCACAAAAATGTAACTGACCAAAAAAACAAGGGAAAAATGTGAGTAGGAAGATATGGAAATGCCATTGCCCTCTGAAAATGCCAGTTACCTGGATGACTCTGGGCTTAATACTTTCTGAATCACTGATTTAAAATCACATCATCTGAGTCACAGATCAGTGAAGTCAATGTGAAGTCACAGCTACAAACCACCAACACTTGTTCTAGGGAAGTGATTTAGAAATTAACGGACAGGGAATTATTATTTTCAGAAAGTAAAATCAGCAGTGGCAGATTCCATACCTCCCCAACAATGTTAAACTTAACATTAACAGATAAGATATTTAAACATTAGAAAAATTCACCACACAAAATATGTAGGATATGGTGGACATAATAGTGTCACTCGAATCCATGTGTAATTGCCCTGTCATCATTAATGCCTATGAAAATTGTGCTTTGCAGATGAAGAAGAGTTAAAAAGAAACCTTTATGAAATATTCATTGTGGTTATTTCACAGAGAGTTAGATATTCAAGGCAACCATGCAGTATGGATTTTTCTAGGCCATAAAGCTTAGTAGGAAAGCTGCCTGACACAATTTCCATGTTTCTACAAGGGGAACTAGAGGGACAGTTATGGAAATGGTGCATAGGTAATTGCACAAAATTACTGTTAAGCTTTATTTCAGAAGGAATCTGTGATTTATTTTCTAAATTAGAACACGAAAGAGTATTATTGACATATGTTTACAGGTTAATAGGTACAAGGTGGTATCAAAAGGTTTTGAGACTAGCTCTGTTTAGAAAGTATGTTATTTATCTATGATTACAAACTATCACCTTCAAAATAGTCCCTTTGTGCAGCAATACAGTGCTCCCAGCATTCCTGCCACTCCTGGAATGTGTCTTGGAAGTCTCCTTCTTTTCAAAGCATGTCAAGCACCTTCTGCTGTTTGCACAAAGTTGTCAAAACAGCGGACCTTTGAGCTGGATTTTCATCTTCGGGAAAAGGGCGAAGTCCACAGAAGCCAAATCTGGTGAGTAGGGTGCTTACGGAAGTGAGATTATTTTGTTTCTGGCAAGAAATTCACATGTGAGGAGAGCTCGGTGACAGGGTGCGGGGAGGATTGCCTGGACTGTTCCGTATGAAACACAGATAATGGCAGCAATGTTGTGGATTGTTCTCTGATGATCATCATGCACAAGCTGCCAAATGATTTTGGGGTTTGAGCTTGTTGAAGGTCTTCCTGATATCTCATCATCTTCCAGTGATGTTCTTCCGCTCTTGAAGCATGTGTGCAAGTCAAAACACCTTGAACGACTCATAGCTGTTTATGCTTAAAGATAACATTTCCCTAATATGTATTATGAGTCAATAGTCATTAAAGCAGCGGTTCTCAACCTGTGGGTCGCGACCCCTTTGGGGGTCGAACGACCATTTCACAGGGGTCGCCTAAGACCATCGGAAAACACATATTTTCCGATGGTCTTAGGAACCGAGACACCGTTCCTCTATCTGTTTCAGGCGATGTGTGGGCGGGATGACATGCTGCCCCTGTCACCTGGCCACACCTCCGGGATCACTCAACAGCTCCGCCTCCTCGCCGCTGATTGGCCACCGGAACTGTAGCTCAAGAGAGGCACACAGGCGGCCAATCACTGGCGAGGAGGTGGAGCTTGGAGAGGAGGAGCCAAGCGGCAGCGTGCGTAGATCAAAGAAGATCGAGCGAGGGAGCTGCTGGAGCGAGTGCAGAGGAGAGCGGCCAGAGAAGGAAGACAGCTGACAGGTAAGTGCAAATTTGCTGCTGCAGCCAGGTATGCTGGCTGTAGATGGGAGAGGGAGGGAGCGAGCCCAGGCTGGAGCAGGGGTCAGCAAGGTAAGTATCATTGGTGTCAGTGGGAGGAATAGTGCCCCATCATTTGTGTCACTAATACCAACGATGAGGCACTATTCCTTCCCCCACTGACACCAACGATGAGGCACTATTCCTCCCCCCACTGACACCAACGATGAGGCACTATTCCTCCCCCCACTGACACCAACGATGGGGCACTATTCCTCCCCCCACTGACAACAACGATGGGACATTATTCCTCCCCCCACTGACACCAACGATGGGGCACTATTCCTCCCCCCACTGACACCAACGATGGGGCACTATTCCTCCCCCCACTGACACCAACGATGGGGCACTATTCCTCCCCCCACTGACACCAACGATGGGGCACTATTCCTACCCCCCCGACACCAACGATGGGACACTATTTCCCCCCCCCCCACTGACCCCAATGATGGGGCACTATTCTCCCCCCTCACATGCCTGATGAAGGGGTCACATGCCTGATGAAGGGGTCCTGCGAGACTCCGAAACGTTGCCTTGCTGTAACTATGTGATGGTTTATTAAAACCTTTGGACCCATATTGGTGATCCTCGGTGTGCTGGTGACATTTTTTTCCTTGCTATTCTCCCCCCTGACCCCAATGATGGGGCACTATTCCCCCCTCCACCACACTGACATCAATGATGGGGCTCTATTCCTCCCACTGATACCAATGAAGGGGCACTATTCCTCTCACTGATACCAATGATGGGTCACTATTCCTCCCACTGACACCAATGATAGGACACTATTCCTCCCCACTGATATCAATGATGGGGCACTATTCCTCCCACACTGACACCAATGATGGGGCACTATTCCTCCACCCACTGACACCAACGATGGGGCACTATTCCCCCCTCCACCACACTGACATCAATGATGGGGCACTATTCCTCCCACACTGACACCAATGATGGGGCACTATTCCTCCCACTGATACCAATGAAGGGGCACTATTCCTCCCACTGACACCAATGATGTGGCACTATTCCTCCCACTGATACCAAAGATGGGACACTATTCCTTCCACAGACACCAATGATGGTACACTATTCCTCCCACTGACACCAATGATGGGGCACTATTCCTCCCACTGACACCAATGCTGGGACACTATTCCTCCCCACTGAATATCAATGATGTGGCACTACTCCTCCCACTGACACCAATGGTGGGGCACTATTCCTCCCACTGACATCAGTGATGTGGCACTACTCCTCCCACTGACACCAATGATGGGGCACTATTCCCCCCCCCCACACACACACTGACATCAATGATGGGGCACTATTCCTCCTACACTGACACCAATGATGGGGCACTATTCCTCCCACTGAAACCAACGATGGGACACTATTCCTCCCACTGACACCAATGATGGGGCACTATTCCTCCCACACTGACACCAATGATGGGGCACTATTCCTCCCACTGAAACCAACGATGGGGCACTATTCCTCCCACACTGACACCAATGATGGGGCACTATTCCTCCCACTGAAACCAACGATGGGGCACTATTCCTCCCACACTGACACCAATGATGGGGCACTATTCCTCCCACTGACACCATGATGGGGGCACTATTCCTCCCACAGACACCAATGCTGGGACATTATTCCCCCACTGATACCAATGATAGGGCACTATTCCTCCCACAGACACCAATGCTGGGACACTTTTCCTCCCACTGATACCAACGATGGGACACTATTCATCCCACTGACATCAGTGATGTGGCACTACTCCTTCCACTGACACCAATGATGGGGCACTATTCCTCCCACTGATACCAACGATGGGACACTATTCATCCCACTGACATCAGTGATGGGGCACTACTCCTTCCACTGACACCAATGATGTGGCACTAGTCCTCCCACTGCAAAATTACAGTTATGAAGTAGCAACGAAAATAATTTTATGGTTGGGGGTCACCAAAAACATGAGGAACTGTATTAAAGGGTCGCGGCATTAGGAAGGTTGAGAACCACTGCATTAAAGTGATTCCCCTTCTCCCCATATAGTAGGATACATAAAGTACCAGACGTTTCCCTCTTCTGCTGTCAATGTTAATGAAGAATCAAGTTCCTGTACCCTCATTATCCTTAGCAAAGTCACGTCACCCAGTTCCTTGTATTTATTTGCAGGGAATTCCTGGCCATGTAAACTAAAGAGTTGAGGATAATTTATTTAAAAAAAAGATGGGAGGGTTCCCCCATAATTCATACATTCATACCAGGCCCTTTATGTCTCTTATGAATTTTACCACTTCAGGTTCTAAAGATGTTTTTAAAACAGATGTTCTTAAAATGGACTTGAAGTTAAAACAGCCATGAGCTCAGTATAATTTTCTACAGCCAGCGATTGAGAGCTCAGCAAAAGTGGTTCAGTTGGCTCCACAGCCACCCATCTGTGGTGGTTCCAGTTCCCCAGTTTGCAAATGCGTACACAGGTTTAGCACGTGCATGTAAAAGTAAACAGTAATTACACCACACATGTGGAGTGAGAGCAATAAATCTAGGGCCATAATTCAATGTTAATTCTAAACTTATAACCTGTAAAGGCTTTAAAACATCATTTTTGAAGAAACTTTAGGTACCAGAGTTTGTCACCATTTCACCAGGATGCACAACACAACCTTATCTTTTGTATTTTGTCAAAATTGAATATTATATTGTGTTTGTGTGCACTAAAATTAATTTCAGTGTATTTTTTCCTAAAAATATGCATTTGATAAAAGGCTGCTAAAATATCTTACAACATAAAAAAATGCAATGACCACCATCTATTCTCCAGGGCCTCTGCTTTCAGAAAAGAAATCATGTTTGGGGATTCTACCCAATTTATCTAGCAAAAAATGCTGACTTTACTTTGTGTGTGAAATATTAAAAAAAGCCCCTGACAGCAAGTTGTTAAGGAAAAAAAAGTGTAAGCCCCCCTCCAAATTCTGTTTCAATGTTATCAGGTCTGGTATAGATTTTAAGGGGCAATCCTATGCACAAATCAAGAAAAAAATCCCCCCCCCCAAATTCACACCAGAAACATATCTAAGCATACATCCTGGCTAGCCACGAAAAGGGGAAGACGGGTATGTGGCAATCCCCACAAAACACATCAGGCCACATACCACAAGAGGGGCACCTGGTCCGCACATTGATGAGAGCAAGGGCTGCTTCCACACAATATTGTCCAAGTGGTTATGGGGATCTGCAAGCTGGGGGCTTTTTGGAATCTCAAAGCCCCCTTTAACAATAAAAGGGTCCCCAGATAACCCCCATGTGAATGATCAAGGGGTACATAGGGTCCCTGCAATGGTAAGTACCCAAATATGTTCATGTCCAGGTTAAGAGAATTTGTTTTTCTTTGGTACATGTTCCTTAGGGCAGTGCCCAGGACCTATTGCCCTTTTTTGAAAATCCACTGCCTATTAGTCTAGAAAAGGGGTCTCCAAACTGCTGCCTAGTGCTTGCCTTTCTCGGTCCCTTGGGACACTGTTCCTCTCACTGACACTAATGATGGGGCACTAATTCTCTCACTGACACCAATGATGGGGCACTATTCCTCCCCCATTGATGACAGGACTCTTTCTGCTTCCACTGTCTACACTCCAGCCCCCCTAAAGTCTGAATAACAGTAAACTGGGCCTTTGTTTAGAAAGTTTGTAGACCCCTGGTCTAGAAAATGGCCATTACTGTTCTTTTAACATTTGGCTTCCTTTGACTTTAATTGGGTTTGAGTTGGACACCTGAACTTTAATAATGTTTGCTAAACCTGCCCCAAGTCGAACCCAGGTCAATTTGGCTCATCATTGCTGACACCATAGTCAGACAGTGAGGGGCAAGCTGCCTGGCCTGATCGTGCAACAGCTACATGCACTTAGTCTCCTGAGGGATTAAATACTAATTTAAACATTTTTGTGAGACCTCTTATTCAACTGTGCTGTTGGTTAACCTGTGATTTCTACCATCCCACTATTTGCCCCTCACTCTGGATTCACGATCAGCTGTCCTGGGATATAACAAAGAGACAGCAAAGGATAAAGCTAATCCTAAATCCATAGAATTATATCTAAAAATATCTTTCACAAATGATGAAGCATTCTTTTTTTAACTCTATACAGAGTGAAGCAGTGTTTCTCTTTTCAGTACTTTCTCATTTCTTACTTTTTGCCTTAAGCTCTATAAGGCTTATGAACTGTATTGGGAAAAGAACATAACTACATTTCTTTTTATTTAAAAATGACATTTTAATGACCTGAAAAGACCCTCAATGATTTTTTGAGACATGAGTGCCCAGTTGTTATGGATTACTGTGAGCCATCTGTAAGCAGCAGCAAGTAAAGGACCCCGAAGAATATTTATCCGTCATATTTATTCTGGTTTTTATCAGTATACTGCCTCAAGGATGTGTGGATTTCAGTGCACGATACTGTCTGTGCAACCCTCAGATTTAAAGTAGTATTAAACCCAAAACAAACATTTATTATTTTACAGCCTACCAATGCTTAGATGGGGTGGCTGCATTAGTTTTCTTTTAAGTCTATCTTTCTTCTGTTTTCATCTGGTGATCTGGCCAGTGTGTCTGTTGCTTTTCAAAAGAACAAGCTCTCTTGCAGATGTTTAAGTTACAGGGATGAGGAAAAGCCATTCAACACTTTCAGGGGTGCTTATAATGATCATTTTTATTTATGTAAAGCCTTTATCTCAAAGGGAGAAAAACAGTTTTCTGTAACTGCTTAGAAAAGTGTTAGCTGGTGTTTAGCTTCAATTTGTTGGCTGCAGCCCTGATCCAATTCCACAGCTCCAGTCTGAGGATGTATATTTACATACAGCAATTGGGAAGTGGTTAAACAATGTAGCAAGTCACAAGTTGAGAGGCTGCAGCAGAAGGCTGATCTGTGTCAGATATTTGAGAACAGGACAAAGAACTGTGCAAACAGCATGACAGACATGTTTTTGTTATCACTGAGTCAGAATCGCAGTCCTGGATGTAGATGGTGACCCTGGATAGTGCCATAGCAAAGATGTTACTGTCCTTTTGAAAAGAAAAGCAGAAAAAGGCATTGCCAAGTGTAGTACTGTGATCTCTGTGAGAAATAATACATACCTGTGTAACACCCTGCAGGAATACTGGCTGCAGGATGTTGAATGAACACAAGATGGCAGTGCTCTGCAGCTCAGTTATACAGATTTCCCAAAGAAAAGCTTTGTTGGACTTGTAGGCCGATAGCAGGACTCAGCTGCTTCCAGCTGTGGAACTGGAAAAACTATGTTTCCAAGAGGAGCTGGCAGCTGGACAGGGGCAGATAAATACATGGAGGACTGGAAGTAAGCAGCGGGAGCTGCAGTGTAAAGCTGTGCAGGACACCGGAGGCCTGGGCTGGGACAGAACCCCAGAGAGTGAAGGGGTGAGGAAGAGTCACAGACCGCTGGCAAGTTGCACTAACAGCCTCTCGAAAAAGGCGGACCAGATGAATTTCATCTGGAGTGATTTGTGGAATCCAGAGAACACGGGGGGGGGGGGGGGGGGGGGGTCATCTGCAGAGAGTGACTAACTGCTACCTTACCGCAGTCACGGATTGGGTGAGAAAGTTCCATACCTTAATTTATATAAGTTACAAACAAAGGACATTGCTAAACTCCGTTACACCTTTCTCAGTCTAGTATCATGTATTCTACAGGTTACATGCATGACATGCATGACGGCCTTGATTATTTGGCTTGCGTTGCCTTGCGGTCTACTGATCATTACACTCTCTCCGCATACTAAATCACAAAAGCCTGCTGCAATATCTGCACCCTGTGGGTCAAGCTGCCTTAGTGCCTCAGTTTCAGTTTAATGAGACATTGACCCATCCTTTTGACCCATCCTTTTTTGCAGAGCTTTTCCTCTTTCAGAATTAAACCTAGCCAACGTACCTGAGGGCCCAATGTGAGTTAGTCTGTCAATTTGGTTGCTTCCCATTCTGTCCATTTGGGAGAAAACATCTCAGGGCTGCCTCACTAGCCAATAGAAATGCACTGGTTACATGAAAAAGGCAAGCAAGCGTTAGCACTATTAGGAAGTAGTGGAGTTCTTTGACCTTTAGATGTCACTATTTACTGTTGTTACTTCTCATAAAATACCTTCTATAATCTGTACAAGTTAGTTCCAGTTCCTGTTTCTGTTCCGATATCCACTTTCAGACCAGGCCTTTTCTGCCACTTTTTGCTTACATGTAACAATGAGTATTTTTTGCTAGAAAGTTACTTAGAACCCCAAAACTTTATATATTTTTTAAAGAAGAGGCCCTAGAATAAATTGGTTGGTTTGCAATTTTTTTTATGTCACAAGGTATTTGTGCAGCAGTTTTTCACACCCAGTTTTTTAAAAAATTTTCTATCACTTTTATTGCTGTCACAAGGAATGTAACGATCCCTTATGACTGAAATAGGCATGGGACAGGTACTCTTTATGGAGAGATCTGGGGTCAATGAGACCCCAAATCCCTCCTCTGCCTTTAAAAGTATTCAATCACACCAAGATTGGTGTAATTGATTGCTTTTGTTT